CCTAAAGTTCAGTGCTAATGATAAGAAGCAGCATCAAGAGCTTCTAGTGGGGACTTTCCACCTGGCAAAGATGGCTATAGATATGAGAAAGCTTTAAGCTGCATGCTAATACAAACAGACAGAAAATATAGGAGAACTAATACAACCTAACCATATAATCTCCAGAGGCATTTACTTGGAAGAAAAGTATTTTATCTGGGTTCCATGAGACCAATTAAATGGTCCATAGCTTGTTTCTCTACCCATCCCACCTCTCTGTTGCTGGTAGAAATATTAGCAGACTCCTTTCATATGACTCTTTGACCCCCCATTATCTAGTTTACTAGAATACTTTGAAGAGAGGAATAAAATAGCCATCTACACAGTGCAGTATGAACAAAAAACAAACATCTCAGTGTTTGTGACAGAAGACCTGGCAGAATGAAATGTAATGTTAAAGCACAAATATTATGTAAGGGACAAGAAACTTTATAAGTAAAATTATTGTTCTTCTTATCAGTCGGACATAGAAGTGTAAGAACCATGGCTGTAGTAACAATGAGGATAAATTGAGTAGACATAGCTGAAAGAAGTGTCTAAACTACAAAAGTGTCCCAGAGGTTCAGGATTCTCCTCATGGTATTTGATTAGATAGATGCTTCGTGAATAATTATTTTCTTATTTGGAAAGCACTGAGAGATGCAAGTCTCAGAAGTCTGACTTTCATCAACCAACATATAGAAACCAGAGTTGTAATCAAGTGTCAGAGCTAAATATCTGTTAGTGATTTGGCTGTCTGCCACTGTCTGGAGATGATACAAATCTCAGACAAAAATTTGCATAAAGCACAGGGTTTTTCTTACAGGGGCTCATGGATCCAGGCTTTAGGACGTTACTTCTTCATAAATGGCCTGGTTTGGGACAAGTAAAGTCACTCTAGAACAATAAAGTACGTTTAATTGAGATAAGGGATCTAAGGAAGAAAATTTCACTGAGGAGAATCAATAAGGGGTGGAAGCAGATAAAAGTGTGAGATGGGACAAAAGTGTAACAAAACCTGGGGGAGGGGCAGGGAAGGGGTGGGGAGAAGTCCTGCAAAACTAATTAGAAACACATAGCAAAAATGACTGATAATCTTTGAGAACATTTGAATCTCTGCTGCAAAGAATTTGAATACAAAAAGGGAAGATGAAATTTAGTGATGCGTACAGTAAGGTTACAAAAACACATAATTTTCGTATGGTAAATTTACCAGAGAACATCCTGGTCTAACAATAGTACTGTGGTAAATTTACCACAGGAACACTATATTTTTGGTGACCACAGCTCAAAGCTATCAATCTCAGAATTAGGGCACTGTAAGCATTTTAGGAGAATTTTGAGTGCAATTTCAAAGAGACAAGAGGAATTTAAAGATAAGAAGGCATTCCTATGAAGATAGAACTGGAAAGCCACTGAGCAGTCACCCAGAAATCTCATACAGCAGAAGGTTCAAATATTAGGAAATATTCTTTTATTACTTAGAAAATGGAAGTAACAATTTGATTGAATTGTTGAAATGAGGCAGAATTTTCATAGCCATCTTCAAAGCAATTACTGTTTCCTCAGATAAGAAGCTTCTATACCAAATAAGGTCTAGTATGTTTGAATGTCATTTAATCAGTTTAATCCCATGTAATAAAACACAAAAACTCTAGAAAAGTGACAAGATACAGCTCATCACATGGCACAGAAGCCTTGCTAAGCATGTGGCAAATACAGTGGTCGTTAAAATGCTAATTCTTTGTTCCTTTCTCATTAGAGCAGTACATGCAAGTTTAATCACATTGAATAACATCAATAGCACAGTTTTTATAAGCACAACCTGCTATAATAGACACATAATTCTGTCCAAGATGTCCCACAGGGGAAGAAGAAGGTGATGCCATCAAAATCAACCAGAGACTTGTATCACACATCATATATTCTCTATCAGCCACATTTAAGACAGTTCAAATAATCTTTGGAGGTGAATCTCTCATAGATTGTCCAACCAGGGACATATATAACCCACAGTATAATCAAATCAAACCCACAGAAAACACATATAACCCACAATAAAAATCAAATTACAGGGACATCAAGTACCTCATGGGTGAGGATGAAATTCAAAATTATTTTGAGAAATTGTAGGAATTAACTGAAGTTAATAAAATAACACTGTATACAGAATTGTGAAAAAATTAAAGGTTTTTGTGCAAAATCAAGAGTAATAAACTAGCAGATTACAAAAGTGAGAAGCAGTTTATGTTATGGTGTTGATATAAATCAAACAAACATCATTCTGGTACATACTAACAGAAGTATGGTACATGTGGGCTACAGGAAGTCATTTTCAATGTCGGGAGAGAAGACTCTGCTGGATAATTGTGTTGTTTGGAGTGCCATGGTTGAAAAAAACTGTAGACAAACTGGAAACAGGCCAAAAGCAAGCACCAAGTGTAATAAGTGCGTTGGAAAACATGACCTGCACAGGGAGGTTGAAATTATTTGTTTAGTCTAGAAAGCAGAAGATTGGTGGGAGACAGAACAGTCTGTAAAAGTATAAAATGCCAGTCAGAACAGTGGGAAATTTCTTATGTGGATGCTAAGAGTTGTGCAAGAACATGGAGGGACTGAAACTGCAGCTGCAGGGTGTGAAATTTGGACTTAGCAAGACAGTGTAAAACTGGAGTAATAGTAGAGTCACTAGAACATGAATACAGAAGTAAGGTACTAATGTAACTTATATTTTGTATCAAAACTGACTTAGAGCAGGATGATAACAGATAGATATTTGTTGTGGTAGTACTAGAAGTACATAATAGACTTCTAGATTTAGTTAGCCCTGAATGTGACTAGAGATTTCATTGATGCTAATGATGAAAATGTGTAACTTGGAATTATACCAGTATGGAGGATATTGGTATCAGCATAAGGACTGGACAATGAAAACAACAATTATTCATAGGACCTCAGTATTCTTGAACATGAGGATCAACGCTCCTCTTTTCCTCAGATATTCAGACAACTATAACTTAATAACAATTCAAACATGTTTAATCAGGATGTTACAAAATGCTGGCCATAGAAAATAAGCTTGGATTACATGATCAAGATTAGACTCTAAATCAAACAAAGGACATGTAAAACAAATATCCTGATTGCAGGGGGACATGTTTTGATAAATTAAGGAAATTCTCAGCTGGACTGAGTAGTTGTGAGATCAGAATGTTCCAGGGACCTGGAATGTATTTTCTCAATGGTGCAAAATATGGCAGGAAGCTGAATCCGAGGAGCAGAGATGAAAAGTGTACAGTGGAGGCTTGAGATAATGGATGTCTACCCATCTTTAAAAGATATATTTAGAATAAATAGCTGTCTTACAAAATAAGAGACAAAAGTACAGAGAAGCAAAAGAAATTGTGTCTTAAAATCCAGAAAACAAGAAGGTAGTTAAATGTTGACTAGAGGCTGGAAGGAAATTACTTTCAGGGATAAGACTTGATAATACTCTTGTTTAATATTTTCATAATAGCTTGACACATAATACAGGAGCTTTCTGACAAAATCTGCCAATAATAAAAAACTGAAAGACAGCACAAAAGAATGGGGATATTGTACAGGGATATGGATCACCTTTAAATCTTGAGCAATAAAAATGGGACAAAATTGAATAGGATAAAATGTATAAGTCATGCACTTTGGTGCTAGTAACAGAAGGTCCTCCCCAAAACTAGAGACTCTATGCTTGGAAAAAAAACTAAGGAAGTACTGAGGTGTAAAGGGTCATTCCAAAATCACTAGGAGCTTCTAATGGGACACAGCTGTGAATGAAGCAAATGCTGTTCTATGACATACCAAAAGAGGTATTTCTAACACAAATAAGGAAAAGCAGTGTCACTGTATAAGATCTGGCAAAAACATCTTTGTATGACTAGTACAATTTCAATCATTCCCCTTCAAGGAAACACAACTAAAACACAATAGGAAATGGGTTACTAGGTTAATGAGAGAAACAGAAAGCATATTAAAAAAAACCCCAAACTTAAAAGACCAAGATTGGTTAGAGCAGCAGGAGAACAATTCAAAAGAGAGGTGATGATTGCCTATAAATACATCTGAAGAACAAGTACCAGTAAGAGGAAAGGAGTATTTAATCCAAATAATAATACTGGAACAGAAACAAAAGAATATAATCAGCCCTGAATATGTGTGTGAATAGAATTTAGAGATACAAATCATAAAAACAAAGAAGTTCTTGAACTCTGTTCCTTTGAGAGTAATGGGGGCAAAAGGAATCTAATTGCCTTTAATGGACAAAGTAAGCTTATGAGAGGAATGATGTAACATAGCTTCAAGTGATTGCAGGGATAGAATTTAATGGTACAGAAAGACCTTTGCAACCTTGTGTTTCTGCTGTTATAAAAAAGTAATGAATTCTTTTGCTCTGTTTCCACTAAGGTAGGATATAAAATGTTCCATTTCATTTGCAGGTTAGAGAACAATGTCAACTTTCTATTAAGACACCAGACACTGGAGCAAACTAGCTAAGAAAGTTTTCAAGAAGCACTTGAACAAATATTTGACATGGCTCTTCTAAGTGTACTGAGACAGACTTAGAGATATGGGTTGCTTTTCTGAGATTCTTTTCAGCCCTACATTTTTATTGGAAAATATAAGCTTGTGCTTCTGGACTCTGGCTTAGCAAAACAGCAAAAACCACAAGTAATTTCTATTAAGTAATTTGCACTCTACCACTTCTGGAGATATTTGCAGTGGTTCATTATTTATTATTTATCTTGTGTTCGGAGTGTTTTAGAAAATTCATAAAGTAAGCACAATTCCCAGCTGGAGATGGAAGATTTTGGCTTTCATATCTGGAGATTCTGGTATACACACAGAAGAATACTATTACTGTGTTTAGCATTCTCTAGCAGAGAAGGTGCAGCCTGGTGTGAGCTCCATTGTAAAACACTTTCCTTCTCTGAACTTCCTTCCAGAGTGGCAACAGGATTCTGTGTTCCATCATTCTGGACCACTGGCAGGGACCATCAATAATAAATTATGATGATGAGAATGGCAAAACATGCATGCACATTGCTGCTGCTGCAGGCTACAGTGATATCATCAGTGAGCTGGCTAAAGTCCCAAAGTGCAACCTGCAGGCCCTTGATGTGGATGACAGGTAACCATGGAAACTGAAGTTGCTGCTCCCTTTCTGATAACCTGAGACCAACTCTGCCTACTATGCAATCATGTTTCCTGTTTCACAGGCCATGGCCTAGTAACACTGCTCAGAAACACTGCAAACCAGTCCAGTTCACATGTATTGTACTTAGTATGATATCTACTAGAAAGAATGATATTTAGCTTTCTGTTTGTGCTAAAAAAAGAGAATATTTGTGTAAGGACTTTGCCACGACTCACCTAAGTTTCTTTCAATCAAAAGTGAACATTCTTTTTAAAACAATATAACAGGATCCTGCAACTTGAAGCCAGGATCTTGCTGTTATTTGTATTTAAGAAATGGCAGTATTCTCTTGTTGTATTTAAGATGAAAATGGGACCAGAAGACCCTCACCTTCCATTCTGAAAAGACCTGTGATTTCTTCTGTGATTAAATCTCTATTTCATAAGTACAGAAAAGTCATCTTTTTTCTTTTTCACCCCACACCTACCTTCCTTGGAACTTTGCTCATAAATTTATTTAATGCAAAGAGAACCAGCTGGCTGTTCACATTGATTATTATTCTGCTCAGTGCAAAAGCCAAGGTTTTCTTGGCTTAGGCCTTTAGGTACTTAAAATAATATCATTCTTCATGGAAAAGTGCAATAAAATGGAACAGAAATAAAATGAGCAGGGTTCTGGAGCAGTTTCTAAACATCATTAAAATGTAGTTGAGCAGGTTGTGTTTCTGTGGGAAGAAGAGCAAAGGGAGGAGATTGCCTGCACTTCAAAGTTCATTAAGACATGGCCACCTATTCTACATGCTCAGATATTTCCACAGAATATATTATACTTTGAGAGGGAAAAGGTAAGCTTTTCTCTCCAAACACATCTATAAGATTTTCATTCTATTGTGTTTCTGATTACACCCATTCTGAAATCACTGGGACTGAAAAGGAATAGAATGAAAAAAGGTCAATTTTATTTTTTTTATTCTTAAGTACTTCTTTTGCGGTGCTGTCTGTGCTTTTAGGTTTTTCACAAGAGCAATTTGTAAACTGGACAAAAGTTTCTAAATACAAAACAAAAATTTTACAGCAAGAAAAAAATCAGTTTGATTCTCCTGCAGAGATTCAAAACAGTTATATGTGCTCTGGTCTGTGACAATCAGAGAACTCAGAAACTGGCAAAGTGGCAGTCTGGTAGATGTGTTCAGTCCCTGTAATTCATCTGGGAGAGGCTTCTCTTATTACCTTCATGGAGAGTCCTCTGCCAACCATGGCTAATTGGGGTTGGTATAAAGATGAGAAGAATTTGTCTCTATGCAGTGGACACTGTGAAAGTTTTTTTCAAATTCTACTCTGAAAACTTCAGTCACTTTTTCTACTCTACAATTTCAGCTGTGGAAGAGATGCTATTACATTGTGTATAGGCATTCTGCAGCCCCATATCTACTTTGTCTGCAGCTAAATAAATGCATTTGCAACAGTGTGGAATAAGTTGACTGGAGAATTTCTTAAAGTGTGTATTATTAATCTGGACAAGTAGGATCCTGTGCATACCTCACTATGTCATTAATAGCTTTGATTGTAAATCTATTCACCCATTTTAATGATACCCTCCTGTCCTGTAGGACTCCTTTGCACTGGGCTGCAGCAGCAGGGAAAGCTGACTGTGTGCAGACACTGCTAGAATTGGGGATAGACAGCAGCCCTCGAGACATCAATGAAAACACTCCTCTGACATACGCAATATACTGTGGGCACACGGCATGCATCAAGCTGCTGACTCAGGAGAGCAGGTAAAAGTAAAGCTCATATCTTGCTCACGTATTGCTACTGACTAGAAAACAAATTTATTCATTTTTGAATGCTCCTGAAGAGTTTGGGCCCTCAGTGGTGTGTCCTTGATCCATAGGCAATACTCATTTCATTTTCCACCAATGTTGCAACATTACAATCAGTTCTCTTTACAAAGACTCTTCACTGAGGTTGAATACTACTCTACCAAGCAGCAGAGGGCTATGAAGAAGATGTGTGTATAGCTCTTGCTCAGTCACCTTCATGTAGAAAACTTGTATAACAGAATAATTTCAGCACTCAGATATATGTAACTTCCACTTCTTTGACATCTCTATGCACTATCTGTGTGCTCATATAATCAGACAGACAGACAGACTGAGCACAAAAGCAGCTTTGACAGAAAATAAAATAAATCTCAAGTTATCATCCTCATAGTAAGGGTTTGGTAGTATTGTCCTAGCCTTCTTTAGTTCTCTACCTTGATATGTTTTTTTATTCTGAGTTCTTGTCTGTTAAAAAATGTAACAAAAGACTTACTGGTTACAACCTTCCTTTCTTTGTGTTCTTCCTTTTTCGGCAGCTGTTATCTAATTAGTTTCCCTTCTTCTACTTCAAGTATGCAGTTACATTTATCTCCCATTTCTTTGTGCTTTCCTCTCATTTCCAGTCAGAAGTTAGTATTGTGTGAGCCACAGGTAATACTACCTCTCCCCTTTAACCTGCACTCTGTCTACTAGAGAAGGTCAGAGATTAGCCAAAATTTCATCTCAAATCCTCTAAAGCAATACTGATACCATTTTCATTTTTGCCTTTTTGTCTTTTACATGTTCTCTGTATTCTTTGCAGATATATTTGTAGCTCTGTAGCCTATTGTACTAGTGGCTAGTTTTCCCAGTAATTTTCCATGGCCTTTCCCTAGGCAGAAAGACAAAACAAATTCCAGAGCTCCAAATCCCAGGAGGGACAAGGCCCCATGCTGTCTTGGTTCTTCCTGGCTACCAAGGTTGAGAACTCTTTCAGATACATTCTCATGGACAAAGTACACCTAGTACCAAGGCAGGGACTCCAGAGAAGGGGCTTGACCTGTGGGGGAATTCCATCACCTCCTGTGTTCCTAATTGGTGCTTTTTATCAATTATGCTAATTTCCTAAAGCCTATAAAAATGTACTTGCCCTTGTGGCGGTGGGCTTTGGTCTTTCCATAACTGCCCCTGAAGGCCTCCAATAAAGATCCACTTTTATATTACCTCCCATACTAAAATACTCGTGAGTTTCATTTCTAGTTTGGAAAAGGCAACAACACAAGTGTAGGAAATTATCTGGACCAATCTGAAACTGTGCTGGACCTCTTTAGTATAAGCAAGGCAAGGGAAAGGTCTGGAAGGGAAAGGGCAAATGGGAAAGAGGAAAAAAGGAGAAGGGAAAGGGACAGAAGGAATAGTGAACTAGTGCTTTTTTTAACAGTGTTTGCAATGACCAGAAATACCTTTTTCCAAGTATGACATAATACAAATACCTGATTTAAAAGATCACAGCACATTCTTCTCATTATTATTAGATCTTCACATCTGGTAGATACTGAAGCCACAAAAATGTGGTTTTTTTCCCAGGTAACTATGCTAAGTTACATTAAGATGATTGTAAGGCGACTCACCTATAAGAAAGAGTGAATTAACACAGTAGCATTTTCAGTCTGTTAATTACAAATTTGGAATCCTAATTATCTTGAACCACCCATGCAATGTATCTGGACAGAATATTGCTTCATTAATGGAGTAACACAGTTGGTATTTTCTGTTTGGTAATATTGACATCACATTTTGTTTTGTATTTCCAGTAGATCTGAGTCAGTTCATCAGTTTCACTCCCAGAACAACAGACTTACAAAGAAAGAAGGACGATTCAGTATGCTGAACCAGATCTTCTCTTGCAAAAAGAAGAAAGATGATCAGAAAACCAGTCAGAAGGAGAGAAGCAGGGATCAATATCCTGGAGAAGAGACCTCAGAAGTAGATGATATCATCACCCGTTTTGATTGCATTATGAATAAAAATTGCAAAGACATTCCAGATGAGTGTAAGACCACCCCTGACTTTAAAAGAAAGAACACAGACACTAAGTACCTCATAGCAGAAAAGAAGAAATCAGTATGTCAGGGACTCCCACCCATCACCACCCAGAGCTTCCCCCCAATCACTGCAGGCAATTCCTTCCTCACTGCTTCCCAGAGCAAAATGTCAAGGTTCTCCTCCAGCTCCAGTACCCACCATTTTCCAGACAAATCTCAAAAGAGTAGGAGTGAGCACAACTTGCTGGACAACACAGACAGCTGCCAGGCTTTGCTGGATGATCCCTGGAACACAGATTCTAACCAAAGGCTCTCTTACAAAGTCTGTACTAGGACTTCTTCAGACAAACTGATGAATGGCTTGAACTCTGATAGATCTCACCATGTGCTTTTGTGCCCTCCCTGCCTTCCCTCACTTCCCAGTTCTCCATCAGGTAATTTTTTCCTTCTCTATATCCTAAATCCTATATCTACTGATGTGGCTGAGTCAGAAAAAAAGTAGGGACCAATAACATTTCTATTTTTAAATTTTTTTTCAGTTTCTCTTTTTCTTCTATGGCCATCACAGATAGTATGTAGGTGGGACATCAGTTAAAAGCTGAAGAGAAATAGGAGGAATAGGAGATTAAAGTAGGTCTGATGAACAAGCAAAAATGCAGCTATCTAGGAAGTATATAAGGCACCTGAGCAATAAGTGCCTCCAGGTAATATGTATGTGCATGGTGAATTGCACATTGACACTCACTACCACACATGCTGCCTTGTGTCCACATCTAGTCCTGGATGTAAATGTGCCAAGGAACAATTTTGCCCTCAAATCTGTAACTGTGCTGAGAGCTGCTTCTGGATCCAGCCAGATCCAGTGCCATGCTGGACAGCTTTATGCCATGCCACTTTACCTGTAGAATTATATTCTGACTGCAGGCTGCAGAGGCACCCCTTCCCACCCTGAATACCACCCTGAGTGCCAGCTCTTTGGTCTGATGTGCTGTTCTTATGGTTTCTCCAAAGCTGAATTCAGGTCACTAAATTTACAAAGATGGGACAAATGCTTTTATGCTGTGGTCTGGAAATTGGAATGCAACAGTAGTGAAGCAGAGCATTAGAATTCTAAGGTGAACTTGATACTAGAGTTTGGCTGGATTTGGGATCTAGTATTTTATTTGACTCACGTCCATGTTTAAATGAATCTGCCTGGCTGGGCTGTATTCTGGAGTTTACTTTAACATATCAGTGTCTCCAAATTCATCTCCTTTGGGGTTAGTCCAATGCCAAAATTAAACACATCTAGCATACCTTCCAACCACTGCAATATCTAACTGAAAATGAAGCAAGCAAAAGCAAACCCCAAACTTTCCAGTATACCATTAAAAGGAGTAAAAAATTTACAGTAGGTTAATCTATACTTACCCCAAGAGACATGAGCCATGACCCTTCAATGGAAAGAGGAGTGAACAGAAAACCTAAGAAGACCCTCAGTTAGCTGCATGATAGTGCAAACTCTTCTGAAATCTAAGTGATGAGAATTCAAAAAAGCAAATCTTTGCACACATGTCTGACAACTAGAGCAGAGACAAAATTTCAGAATGATGGGCCATTATACATACATTATGAAAATAAAGGCTGGAAATAGCTTTTTGGTGTAAAAAGGAACTACTTTAAAAGTGCCACTTCCTGAATGCCAGGCCACATTCCTGAAAGCTTAATAAAACTGCTCCAAAGGTGTCACTGCTTTCTTACTATGCACTCTTCAGCTGCTCACTCAACCATACGAGCCCCAGACTCCACATGCCCAGCAATGATTGCTTCTGCATGACTCCTTCTACACTAAATTCTGCAAGGTTCAGCTCACATGTGGAACACAAGAATACCTGCAGGGCTACTTTATAACCTCACTGTAATAGGGCACAGTGAGGCTAAGATATTTGAGATCATTGAACTTGACAGCAGTAGCAGGAATGAGTTCAAGCTGGATAAACCAAACTGGAGGACAGCTATTTCTGGGAAAACTTCCTGATGGAATTTGCTAGACTATTAATACATTTGATATGGAAGTAACTACCATGACATTTAAAATGTGATTATAGATTTTTCTTAATATTGTAGTATACTACAGTGCTAAGAAAATGGCTAAACCCATGTCTGCTCTGGACAGAAGGATAATGTGTTTTCCCTAGAAAAAATGTTTCTGTGGAAACCCTCTGACAAAAATCTAGTTGTTATAATGGGAGCCATCTTTGCATGCCCAAAGGGAAGGTAAATAATCTTATTTCTGACAGTTTGTTATCTCCCTCAGAAAATAAAAAGCCTGATTCTTATTTAAGTCCAGTTTTCTTTGTACCAACTCCATTTTAACATTTATCATTTTCCAAGAATGAAACTATTCCTGTAGCTGGCAAAAAGGACTTCCTCTGAAACATATGAATTAAAATCCTCTAAGGAGGTAGAGAGTGTCTGACAGGAATGCATTGCACAACACAGATATTGTCTCACATTTCTTCGTGATAAAAAGATCTGCTTATCCCTCTTCATGCCTATGTGTGTGGTTTAAATCTGTCTGCCCCTGTAATTAAAGCCACCTGACTTTCTGTGAATTAGAACTGCATTTACTGTATGAGCTCCAGGCCTTCCAGGTCTCCAGTGTGCTGTGCCTGCAGGACTTACAGGGGTTCCAGCCCAGCCAGCAAGGCTATGCAGTCAGCCCTCTCTCTGAGGAAAAATGTCTTTTGTTTTTCTTGGTTTTTGGTTTCTTTTTGGGATTTTTTTTTTTTTTGGGGGGGGGGGTTTTGTTTGTTTGTTGGTTTTGGTTTTTGTTTGGCTTGGGTGTGTTTGGGTTTGGTTTTTTTTGGTTGGTTTGTTTTTTGTTTCTTTTGTGGGATATTTTGTTATTTGTTTGCTTGGAGTTTTTTTAATTGATTTTTCTTTCTTTCTGCAGGAGACTTAGCTGAGGGGGGAAAAAACAACATCCAGTTTTTGAAGATACTGAAATGTTAATACTTCGTTTCTCAATTAATGACTGGGGGGGACTACATGTAATTTCCTAATCACTGAATATCTAGGCCAGGATTGTGGGTATCAATAATCTAAGAAAACTCAATTTTAAAATTATTTTCTTTGTTGACACAGAGTGTTGATTGTCTTGCATGACCATGTCTATTGTCAAAGTCAAAGCTAATTTTTGTGGTCACTTGCGACAAAGGCAGCTCGCATATATATGTGTAAAAGCCTTTGGAGGTTTTTTTTCTATTATCTGTGCTCCTGGGAATGAAAGATGAGTCAATTTACTACCTGAGCATTAACACTCAAACAAAGGGGAGAGGTTGCTGTGTGTCACAGTGAAAATTACCTTACTACTGTGCCATTGGTTTCTCCCAGAATTACTGCTCTCCACTGAGAAGAGCAAAGACAGTCTATACTAAAAACTGTCAAAATTCCATGAGAGCTTGCCACAGACTGAGCTAGCATCAAAAATCGGAAGGATTTACTTATGAGCTTTGCAGTCATCTCTTTTTGCAAAATGTACTGCCATCTACATTCTATGGGGAAAATAGTGGAAGTAGAGAATTCCAAGTGATATGGGTAACAGGAAGCCTGTCTCAAGTAATAACACAGCTCTGAGATGCCTATCACCCACTTGTCTTTTGGGTTACTGAATTTCCAAATGTAAGATAATACTTTATTACAGGTTTTATTACACTGTTTATACTGAATTTCCAAATGTAAGATAATACTTTATTACAGGTTTTATTACACTACCTTCTGTTTGCTTGAATAGGTAATGTGAAAAATAGGCTATTATTAACTTTATGATGGTATAAGCAGTATGGTAGAGTTCAACAGGAAACATTTTTTGGCTAGGAAAGCAGAGCAAAGCTGATCAGTGTGGCTATCACTTTCTCAAATTTAAGAACCAATTTATTCTGAGACATTCATCATAACATTAACAACTTTTACACAAAATACGCTACTATGTGGTTCACCTTCCTAAATGCAAGGAAAAATTTATAAAAAATACAACCTCTAAGAAGACCCAAATGCAATTCTGCATTTTATAAGAATGAAATTGCTTTCTTTCCATTTATTCAAAAATAACTGCAAACATAAATATGCTCTTGGGGAGCAAAGATGACATCTTAGAGAGAGAAAAACTATTTTTCCAGATGTTGTGAAACAGATAAAAAAGAAAAGTAGAGAAAACTTCCACTTGATGCCAAAACTTCTAACAAGGATTCTTTCCCAAGCATTCAAATCATCCTTGCAAACATGATTATGTTCTGTACCATTGTTTTGCTGACAGATATCCCATTTATGAAATGAACATATCTCTTGATAGCAATAACAACCTCCCATCATCAAAGCCATAATGATACATTCACAATAAGCCATTAGTTCTCAGCATAAGCATCACAGAAACCAATGTAACTTGAACTGCTCTAATGAGAGCAACAAACAATTCTCTGCTATATTGGAATTTATATATTTAGTCCTTTGTGCAAAGTGGATACAAGGTCTACAGAAGAGATTTACCAGCTAGACACTAGAGATGTGAAAGAGTAAAACAGGAAAACCAAACTGAAGTCTGTTTTTGTTAAGCAGAGCTCACCCATACAAGATCCTTCAAGCTTTAGCTCAAACACATCAGCTTAACCACAGGATCCAGCAGACTGACCCGATGTCTCTCAACTGTTGTGGCTTTTAGACCAGAGCCTTGCTGCGTGCTGAGCCGAAGGCTGCACTGTAACATGGTGGTTTGCCTGACAGACACCACAGTAACTCCTTTCACACAGAATCTGTTTAGTCATCAACATAGTTAACAGGAGCCGTGACAGCCACTTCTGTGCACCTTTGGAAAACTTGTAGAAAACTGTTTTTCTACAGCTTTATCTTGCACAGCCCAACAATACATAGGTATTTTCAAGTACCAGCTGCAAAGCCACAAAGGCAATTAATGTAATTCCATCTCTTCCTCCTGCTTAGGATGTCCTGCTACATCCACCCCGTGTCTCCCCTTGTCTCTGTGTGCTGACAGAGCATATGCCTGCTCTTCAATGAGCTATGTTGCAAAGCCATGCTGGTTGAGCAGCTGCTTGCCAAGACATCTCGTTACATGGCTCATCACAGATTTGGTGATAACAAGAAAAATTATTTGCAGGACTCAAGCATCACAGAATAAGATCAGCTCAGGAAAAAGATCTGGTAAAAATGTTGACTTGGTGCTTGAGTTTCTTCTTTTTTCAGTATTAGACATGTCCTTTATGTGATGAAATGCATTACATCATCTAACGTACTGTCTTTTTTAACAGTATTAGACCTAAGTTAACTTTGACCCTAACAAGTGACATGCCAGAATTAACCAATTAACCTTTCCTTTTCCAGTATATACTCTTCTTGGTGAAAATGATACTGCCATAAACGTAGTTTAATGAGGATCAGTATAGCCTTCTGTTGGTTGTGATATGCTTTCATCTGCAACAAAACCCTGTCAAAGCTCATCTTTACTGCTAATAGCTTTCAATGTCTTTTTCCAACCAGCAGTTGAACTCTGTTTTCACTTTAATATTTAAAAAGGCTGAGACCCTATCAGGACATTTTGCAAACTAAAGCTTCAATTTTGAAATCAAATCATCTATTTTAATAATTTTACAGATTTAGAGTCCAACGATTCTTACAGAGACCGAGCTAATAAACTGTGCCCATTTTAAGACCTAAAGCAATATTATACAAGAGGAAACTATAAGGGTTGTACTAAATCAATCAGTCCTTTTTATGAGTGTAAAGTGAACTAAGCAACAGCTTCTTTTTTTTTCAGTCAGTGGTTTCTTGTTATTACATATTTCTGAGAAATACTGAGTAAGTTTTCTTTTCTTTTCTGGAAGCCAGAAATGCACAGTGCACCACACTAGTTACAATTATTTCCATAAAAATTTTCTTTTTCTTTCACAGGTAGAAGTTTTCAACAGATGTCTGTAGACCAACACAAAATGAAAAATGTTATTCCTGTACAGAGCAGCCTAGCTCCAATACCCAACCATAGTGCTCACAAAAGTAAGTACAGACAAGTGTCGGTTACTGTATCACATTGCGTACCTCCATCACTAGCATCTGAGGGCTTGAGAGAGGTTTCATGTTTGTTTTTCACAGCGTCGTAGAATGGCTGAGGTAGGAAGACACCTTTGGAGACTGTCTGCCCACCCTCATGTCCACAGAGAAGTCACCTACAGCACATTGCCTAGGATCACACCAGTTTTGTTTTAAATACTGCCTAGGATCACACCAGTTTTGTTTTAAATATCTCTGAGAATGGAGATTGAGACTACACACTTTCTCTGGGCCATCTCTTCCAGTGTTTGACTACCCTCCAAGGGAGTTTCTTAGTACTTATTTGTGGCCATTGATTCTTTTCCCTCCTTAGGACTCCAGTGAGAAGAGTCTGTCTCCTTCTCCATTACTCCCCACAATCAAACATTTATACATATTGACAAGATCCTTTGAGCTGCCTTCTCTGCTTGAGGCTGAACAGTCCCAGCACTGTCTCCCCTTTAAGGCAGACACACCAACCCTTTAGACATCTCCATTGCCCTCCACTGGATTTGTTTCAGTATGTCCCCCTCCCTCTCTGTACTGGGAGCCTCAGAATGGGACTCCGAACTCCAGATGTGTCTCACCCAAGCTGAGTAGAGGGGAAGAATCACCTGTCACAGTCTGCTGGCAATGCTCTTCCTGGTGCAGCCCCAGACACTGTTTGCTGTATTTCTGCATGGGCACATTGCTGGCTCGCATTCAGCTTGGGAAGCAGTGGTTCCAAAGAGCAGGAGAGCTTCACCCCACTCCCAGAGTCCAGCAGAGTGTCAAGACCATGATTGTTCCAGGCTGAATCAAACCAGCAACTGGAGTTTTCTTCATACACAGACATCAGCCCTACTCCCAGCAGTGTCCTGACCTCACATTCTTGTGCTCCACAAAGCACAAATCTCCCTTGTATACTGGATGAGGATTTACAGTTTGCTGACTGTCATCCTGCAGATCAGCCAGGTCCAAAAGCATTAAGGCCTAAATTTAAGATTCCCTGCCACTTAGAATTTGAATATCAGAAGCAATCCTGCAGTGACAATTCTGCAATATTGCTAGAAATGAGGCAGAGGCAGCCTTACAGGGACCATCAGATTGGGTGGGGATATACAGAATCCTGCGCTGCTGCTATTTTCTACATGAGACAGGAAGAAGAAAAGGTGTTTGAATTACTGAGGTGGTATTCTCTGTCTGCTCAGAAGGAAGAAAATTATTTAATTGCTTTTGATTGCTTTTAAAACCCTAGGTCCAAGCTTTCTGGTTTTTAAGCTTTGTACTCATGTTCTCTGTGTCTTCTAGTTAAATCATAGTTGTAAGCAAAATCCTTAAAAAAATATTTCATAATAATTTTTGTTCTTGCATTAATTCATACAAGTGGTCAAGAATTTAGTTATAGTCTCATGCCAAAAAAATTGTTTTACAAATAAGATACAATTATTACAATTAAGAATCGCAGTTTTATTAACTTACACAGCACATTTATCCAGGTGCCATTACTGCTTGAACATTAGTTCAAGCCAGTAACAGAAAAGCAAAATTATTTGCAAAATAGACTGTATTTCTTGTTAACACAAATGACATATTTGCTCCTGAAGCTTTCTAAATAACTGTTTCAAAGTCTCACCTCAGTATGAGAGATTTCACTCATCCTCCATCCAGCCCTAAAAATATTGCCCTTTTGGACATAGCCTTTATCCAGTTAAAGTGCTCCAGCAACAAAGACTGAGTATAAATATTTGTGTTTTCTCTAGTATTTTTAATACACAAGATGTGTGTTAAAAATACACTAAGGGAAAAAGAAAAAACAAAAAACACTACCAAGAAGCAGGAACAATAAAATAAGCAAAAACTGGAATGAGAACTGAAACTACTCAGAGATAGAGAAAGAAGAAGTATCTCCCCCAAAAAAGGAAGGGCAATGAAAAAAGGAGGAAGAAATTATTAAATCTCTCAGTAAAAACATTTTTAAATACACATTAGAAAGAGGAAAATAGGAATGAAACATTAGCCTGGGAAGAGTACTTGAGTGATTTTTAAACAATAAATTCTCACTCTTCAGATATTCCCAGGTCCAGAGATCCCTCACAAGGCTTTTTGAGTAGCCTCAGCACAGACTGCATCTCCTATTCTGCATGCTGCTGCTTCATCCGCCACACACTCTTCCTATCTCATCATGCAACACTTCCGACAACCCCTGGAAAACAGGGGTCACACACTCCTCACAAAATGCCAGAATAATTTTTCAAACAAATATGGAACTTCTAGAGAACTCTCTGCTGCTCTCACTTCTTCATGTAGTTAAGAAGGTCTGATGTTTCTGGAAACATCAAAGGAGACAACATGTGTCTGATGCACAAAAAGGTGACATTGTTGGGAAAAAAGCCACAACATCAACAAATTTAAAATACAAACTTAAAATCTATTTCTACAGGTTATTTAACAATATTTTCTGGAGATCTGTGGTTGTTTTTTGCTATTGTTCATCATGATTTGACATTTCTTCTTTCCCAAGTCAACAGCAAATCATTCCACAAAGCACCCACATCACTGCAGAGGGCCACTATGGTCTGCTGCTTGCAAAGGAGAGTCCATTCTTTTGCTGGACTCCATACTCCTTGGGCAATGCCTTTCTGACAGCCTTATTTTTGCCTCTGCAGTTTGTAATAGCAGCCACTCCAGAGTCTCTACTGAGTGGAAAAGGCTTCCTGAACCAGTAGCTCCTGCTGTTCAGGTCTTTGGTGGCCGATTCTGCCCTCTGTGTGTGAATCAATAATTGTGGTTTTGCTGTAGGTAGCTCCTGGGGCCTTAAGGGCTCTGCCTCCCACATATCCCAGCTCTGGGTCCAGGCTCATGTGTTTCAATATATGTACTAATACTAGTCATTACATGCATTGTTTCAGAGCCATCCATGTACCAGGCCTGAAATCCTAAATGGAATATCCTAAACTGAGCACAGTATGTGGGACAGTGTGGAAAGCACTGATGTTTGATTCTTTGAATGAGCATGAGTTTGTGATGGCTGCTCTGTCATGGGCGTGAAGTTAAGCTGCAGTAGTTTTGGCATACTTAAGTCCATCATTTAAAGCTTTTAATGATGTACATAAAGCACATAAAGCTTTAGGGATATTTTTCACACAGATGTGAACTTTGAATATATTAACATATGACTGTGTTCCAGAGAGGGACACAAGTGAGCCTCTCAACATTTGCTGAATGCACACCAAAATTTCAGTGAACTCAAAGCATACTACCATGTGCTAGAAAACAAATGGGTTCATTTACTGTATCTAGCCCTCTCAGATTCACACAAATTCAGCACCAACTAAAGCAAAGTATTAATGGTTTGGGGTTTTTTCGTGGAAAGGAGAAGTGGTTTACTGAATTTCTGAACATGAATGAATCTTAAATATGACCCATGAATTACAGTACACTGCCAGAGGCCAGGCAGTTGTAGTAAACACTGTCTGCTCAGGTAATCACAACTTGAATAGTAATTGAAATTAGCTTAAAAAGAAAAGAATCTGTCAAGTTTCTAAATCCTCTCTATAAAGATCCTACTTTGCCTTAATCCATACCTGGTAAGCTTTCGAAAAGTACTGCTCCTGAAAAATAAATAATCAATTATTAAATCAGTATAAGGTGCATGTTACAAGGGATTATGGCAAGAACTTTAGCCTCTTTTGAACCATTTGTATAGTTAAAATGATAGATAGATAGATAGATAGATAGATAGATAGATAGATAGATAGATGATATAGATATAAATATAGATATAGATATCTATAGGTACAGATATAGATAAATATAGATACAGATATAGATATAGATATACAAATATATGCAGTGAGGGCCCACTGCAGATGCTAGAGAGGTAACATTTGTTTTCGATGGGGCAAATTAAATGAGGCACAAAATTTCCATCTAGAACAGTTCAGAGGAAAGTGTTAATAGCCCCTCAGATAATTCCTCACAAATATGCAGATGGAAGGAAATCACAACCAACGAAAAATTAATGTAAAAAATTTAAAGAAGATTCTGTAGCCAAAATAGAGATGATGTAAGTCCAGAAATAACTCTTCATATGCTTAAACTATAAGAAACAAAACTGTTTGTACACCAAGAGCTTGTGAATAAAATAGAGATAAAATGGAAAGAAGCTAGTGCAATTCACAATAAGTTGACAGCACAGAAAAATAGGTCTAGGATTATGGTTTTGAATTCTCCTTTTAAAAAATCAGGAAATTAGTGAGTTGTCTGAATGAAGGAGCCTGATTATTTCAATTTAAAGAAAATACAGAACTATATAGCCTTGAAGCGCAAACAATGTTACACTGATGACTGTGAGTTGGAAATAAAGGATGATCTAAATCTACAGTTTCTTACAAGACAACAACAGATATACATAATGGGTGTGCTTCTCAAGAGTTTTGGTGTGTCTTGGTGTGCTACAGGGTAATGGGCTACTTTTGTGGTCTGTGAATATCACACATGTGTGGACCGTGATTGACTGTGCCTAGAAAAATCCAGACACAACATCCCACATTCTTCCATTTCATCTTCCTTAGATTTTGATCATCATTTACCTTCAGCAACAGAGCATTTTTGTTAGAAATAATATATTCCCATCTAACACTTCTGTTACAGTCAGCCTGTGATTTCTGATGAAAAAATATATTGTGAAAATTTCTCAAACGGACCAAGTCTTCTCCACACAAATTATGGGTTCTCTCCTTATCAAAAGTAAATCTTTGAACTTTTCAAGATTTACTGGTCACTAAATCAAAAATAAATCACTTAACACTGGAGTTGTTTCCTTCAAATGAAGATAACCCTTACCAGGCTTATCTTCATCTGAATACAAAAACACAATATTTTATTAGTAACTTGATTACATTTTTCAAGTGCAGGCTTGAGTACACACAGTAAGATACTACAGTTCAAAAGAAGTTGCAAAAACATTTGTAAAAATGTCATGTTTTTCACTTTCTGTGCACTTTCTGTTTTTTTCTATTTCCTCTAGTTCATCTGCCATCTCAGGATGCTAAAAAGTTTAAGTCTCTACGGACTGGTGCAGTTACTCTCCCACCAGCTCCACTCTCCAGATCTCTGAAAACAGGACATTCTCAGAGTCAGATCCTCTATTCTCTTTTGCCTGGTTTATCAGGAGAGCGTCTAAAACCAAGCTGTGTCCTACCTGCTATCCCAAACCAGAAGAAATCTAATCCTGAGGAGGAGCTTGAAAAACCACTCACCAAATCAGATGCTGAAAATTAATTCATTACAGTGGCTTAAATTAGTTGAAATATGTCCAAGTGGCTGTTAAAAGATAACTTTACAGCTAAATCTCATTCATGTGCACTAATGATACTGTTGTGATCTGGAGCATAACAAAAACCAAGATAAAATAGCATATAACAAAAGCTGCACTGTGTGTGTATATATATGTATTTGCATTATCATTTTCATGTATGATGAAATTACTTAATCAACATTTAATGTGCAGTAAATTTATTTTTTTTGAATGGAACCCTCATAACATGATTTTGTTACAGCACTGTGCTGTTAAGACTTTCACAGAAAAAAGGAACAAAGAGTAAGGTTTTCTGCATGATTTAAAAGTTGGAACTAGGGAAAAAAATTGACAGGGCTTCTCTGTAATTTGTAAATGCAGAGGTGCTGGTTCTGATGCTGTGTGCTGTAAAAAGAATCTTTTTAAGATTAAGAAAATAAACTCAAAATAAAAGGCAGCTTCAGCAATTGAAGGCTTTTTTCTCTTTGTTTTTCACACATTTTCTAAATTGTAAGCTTGTGGGTTTTGTGAATTCAACAAGTTTGAAAAGTACAATGAAATAATTCCTGTGGAACAGACAGACCTTTAGTATGCACTGTTCAAAACTGTTCATTTCACAGACAGATTTATGTCTTATTAATTCTTCATACTCCTCAATGACAAAAATGCAATTGGGTACTGTTATCTTCATAAAACAAGAATTGCACAGTCCTGAGATTTTAGGCATTGTTTCACTTTGATCACTGAACTGGGTGAAATTTAACTAGACTACTGTTCAGTCAAGAACCTTTATGAGCCAAGGTATAAGCCTTTAACTAAACATCGCACAAGACTGTCCTTTCCTAGAGGCTGACAAAGACACCAGCGTTTGCTTGCTTCAGTGCTCTTATCTAAGTCTTGCTGCAATTGCTTTAGAGGCTTCTCCACTTCTGATCATAGAGGGGCTGTGGGCTGGGGGAGGTTGTCCCCTTTTGTCACACTTCTGTATCACCACTTCTAGTAAGCCGGTCCAAAATTAGCTCTACATCAGCAGCTCATTCAGCAAGGACATGGCACTTCTGCTTATCTCTAGATAAATGTCTTATTAGCTGTACAAACATTTATTTTGCTGTGTCACAGTAAAAGACAAACCTGACATGAAGAAGAAGATAATCATGTTCCAGCAGCTGCAGTTTCCAATTTCCTTGCGCTAATGACTGTAAATAGGATGGCTGGTGGCTGTCACAGACAGTCCCAGAAAGAAAGAAGCAGAGCACAACAACAGCTGCTCTGATGCAACACAGGGAGAGGGAACTTTTGCACGCAAATAAAATAATGCTTTATTTTTAATCATGTCACCCAAATGTCAGGGTATAACCTCAAATTCAACAAGTAATATAAACATCTAGCTTCTTGAGGAAAAACATAAGACTAAAAAGTTCATGTGCTTGGACCTTCCAGACAACCTACTCCCTGAGGCTAAATGCAAAAAACACTGCATGACAGATGCAGTGCACTTTTAAAGGAAAAATCAATTCTGGCATGCTCTGTCTTTGTACCTGAGCAGTCCTGTTCAGGCCAACCTCGCTGAAAAGTCCAGAATTTCTCCTGCAGTATAGCAGACTGGTATTTGCTCCACAAGGTCATTTGCTGAGCTGCTCTCTCTGCTCTACAGAGCCCCTGAGCTTCTTTGCTTGAAACTTTATCTTTGCAAGTCCCAAAATCTCTGTCCTGACTTATGCCATTCTGTACCTGTGTGGCCTCATACAATAGACAAATGGTTCATAAGTTATTTCCTAGAAACATTAAAGCTTCAGTGCAGACTTTATGCCTCTACCATTTGGTAAAAAGAAAATTATTTTGGTTTGCACATATTGCACAGAAGAGAAGGGAAATCTAATTCCTACAGCTCTGGCTGTAACAAGAATGAGGTTTGTCTTCACAAAATGATAGCCTAAAGTAACCATTCTGGCAGAGATTAATTATCTTTACTTCAACAAACTGCTTGGGAATGGGTATAGCAGGTGGAACAGAGGAAAGACCAAATGGCACAACAAGGAAATCCTAGTGAGGTCAAACATCTGTAACTCCTCTGCCACATTAGCCCTTTTCAGTGGGTATGGAAGCCATGCCTTTAGCTGTCTACTGGGATGCCTCAAAAGAGGCTGGTCACATGATGCAACTCCAGATTTTCCTGAATAGAAGGGGATCCTCACTGCTACTGCTGGATTTTACAGAGGAGGTGGATTTCTCTCTCATTTCTTGCATTACCCTGCAGGTGCAGGGTCTAGGAGCCCTGGGCTGCCTAATGGCAATCGTGAAAGCTGTTCTCATTTGTTTGCCAGCTGCTGTTCTATGCTGGAGAGGAAGATAGAGCAGTCTGTGTTAGCTTCCCATAGAGGCTTGAACAAATTTAAAATGTTTCCAGTATTACAGCAAGAAAGAAAGGGAGAGAAATTCCCCCAGGTTAGACACTTCCATTCCCAGAAAAGAAGCAATCAGATTTCTGGTTTTCCTGTTCAGCAGTGTTTTGTTAAGGCAGCACGGGTGAACAAAGCTGAATAATGAACAATTTCTGATCAAAGATAACACTGTCTTTAAAATTAAATTCCTTTTAAAAATGTAGAATTTCAGGTGCAGTCACTTGTTACTATGCATGTTACCACTGTCTACACAATACAGTTGCATGACAGAAGGCTAGGTGAATTTTTCCTATCATTTATCGTTTTTTTCCTCATCTTCTACTTGGAATTAATGTTTTTTTTCCAGGGGTCTGCCACCTAAGAAAGGCTTTTTCAGAACAGGAATGCAAATCCAACTGCCTGTTCAAAGGTAAGCATAGAATACAGTTCTTACCTGAATAGAGACAATCTTAGGAGCTGGTAATCTGAGTTAAGATCCAGGCCACTTTTCTAATGTGTTTTTTCTGTAGACTGCCAATAAGAAAGGAGTTTGTGATTTACCAGATATAGATCTTTCAAAAATTAATGCTCATAGAAAGCATTAAAAGTTATTCTCAGAAATGTTCCCACCAGAAAGTATTCTTATCTTTTGTATTTGGTTGCAAATTCTACAGTAAAGGAACATGACAAATTAAGGTGAAGTATTTCACCTTCATTGGAGAGCAGACTGTTGACTGCAGCATACTGCATGAAAGATAACAAATGAACCAATACCTACTTAAGCTACTCTGACCTCTTGCTCAGACCTTTCCTGGAAGATAATGGCAGGGGAGACAATAAAAGGCTAACATTGTTGATTAGCAGTTGCCAAGAAATGTCTGGTCGGTAGGTCATGACAGATTTTTTTTCCCCTCTGTCTAATGATTAAATAATCCTGGCACATTCTTCTCTGACACTAGCTGAGTGTTTATTCACAGAGTGTGAAGTATTCAGGTGTCTGCAGAGTTCAGCTTGGCACAGCAAGCTAAGAAAATACATGTGCACAAAGGATATATTTTCTGAACAAAACACACCTCACTGGCATAGGCTCAACATATCTCCTCACTGGCATAGGCTTGACATTCCTTATACCATTCCTATGAACATAATTTCAAAATGCTTTTAAAAGTAGCCTTTATTCCAGTGGACCATTTTCTTATACATTCCTACTGAATGGACTGGTCCACTCTATGAGTAAACTGTGCAGGTGATTAGCTTTAGTCCATTATTTAAAACAGAGAAAAACATTCACATGTATAACAAAGGATCACCACTATTATGATTATTTTTCAAAGGCTGTTCTATTGCTGAGCAAAATATCTGATGAGCACTACATCACCACTACAAAACAGCAGGCTGTGGAAGCTACATCCTCTAAAATTCAGTCCTAATAAAGCATTTTAAGTACTCTACCACTGGCAAAGGTGGAGGTCTCTGTTCCCTCACCACTTAACAGACTGCATTCTGCTACCATCACCATAGCTATCACTTTAGCTAGGGACATTAAAAGCATATCAACTCTTCAAACAATTGTAAGAGGGCTTAAAGAGCTCATGTGGTCATACTGTCTTCATGGCTCATCACACCTCTTCCTCTGCATTGACATCTTCATAACAATTTAGGAGAAATATTGCAAGCATACATTATTTACCTTTGCATTTCAAAGATCGAAATTTTTTTCTCATTATTTTTATAGGGTTTTCTGAGGATGCAGAGAATCATAGGAAATTCCTTAGATTCTGAGATTTTTCTGTGCTGGCCCTATTTGTGCAAAAGCTCACCATCATAACAGAGGCAGTTTAGACCAGTTTGTCCAGTGTCCAGCCACAGAGCCACCTCAGACCAAGAACACGGATGAGTACTTGATGTAAAGAAGTTGACACAGAGACAAAAATTAACCCCATGCCTGTCAGGCTCCTAAAGTCCAACTTTTCCTCACAGGTAGCCAACACTGACATGGGTCTGCCTGATGCAGCTGCTACTGAACGTGGTGAGGTCACACAATCACAGAATTGCTGAATGGTCAGGTTGGGAGGCACCACACTGGGTCATCTGATCCAGCATCTCTGCTCACTCACTTGTACAGCCTTCTGTAGTTAAGTTTCCATTTCCATATCACTGTTTGTGATGCTTTACGGTACTTGGCATCATGATGTGACTTTCTGTGGCTCTGTAAACACTAGAAGAACCTGCAGAGTCAAGGGTATCTTCACACCTGTCTAAGAGTATTATTTGACTCTACACACATGTGCCTTCCTGCACCTTTGCACAGGTTTCTATGCTCAGCGGGTGGAATTCCATCCTCTGGAAGAAGAATGTGCCAGAGTTCCTTGTATCACACAGGAGCAGACTGAAGCTGTCTGAACGCACTAATGCACTAAGAAAAGACTTAGTCCAGCTCTCCCAGCGTATCTCTGTAGCCATCATCACCACTACAAAAGATCCCACAGTCACAGCCTTTCTTTTCAAGACTACATCAGGAAGATTTGTCAGTAAGAGTAGAACTGAGGAGAAGGGGCAGGAGAAGCAGATCCCCGTCTCACACACAGTGCCACAAACTTCAGCTATACTTTATCTTACTGTCCTTCTATTGCCTTCTGTTCTGTTGGGGGGTTTTATGCCAGATAAATTTACATCAGAATTTTATTGTATTCACTACTGCATAAGTACCTACTGTACAGTTAATCAAATGCTACATTTATAGGCACTTTAAAAGCACAGCTAAAGCCTCTCCTATACTGTTCCTGATGAGACCTCATACTACTTACTTTCAGAAATGCAAAAAATCAATGTGTAATTACAGCAAAATTACTCCTTTACTGGAGTAGTTCTTCTTAATTCAGACACCATCTTCTTAACTGAGGCAATTGTTACACACAGTAGAAAGAAATACTTTTCCAAATTCTTTTTCACAAAAAAAATTCATTTTACTGTCAGATTTATCAACATGAATTTTCAATATTGTTTTTGTAGATATAAGATCAGCACATGTCAAACAAAGGTAAAAAGAAC